ATAATATTCACAAAGAAAGTAAACAAAACATATGACTACCGGAATGAAGACTTGCATATTTTTTGTATTAAAATTTGAAGCAACATGAAATATCTGTCGTTTCCAGTCATTGAAGTAGTTATGATACTTGAATTAGTCCAAGATGTGATGTGTGTGCGAGAGAAATGTTTTGAGGTAGTGGATGTTTCAAGTTAGGTATTTGAGTAAAAAAAGTATTCTTTAACCTTCTGACAGTTGGCATAAGCAGCCAAAAGACGGTGGTAGTGAGGATGAGCCATGATCTTAGCCTTGACTGAGGTAAGAAAAAGAAGAGGTGCCATCGTTGTCTCCATGAAATACAGCCTGTGTTTGTGTTGTTGTTATCGTCAAGAATGAGTGAAGAAGGCCACTAATGAGATTGCGGTTTTGAGTTTGATTGTTGGTGTATGGCAAGGGAAGAAATAGGTATTTGAGTCTGCATCAGGATGATGGTGATGGTGATGGTGGTGATGATGTTGATGAGAAGAAGTCATGAGAGCATCATCATCATAGGACATAGTCCATTACTGTTGTCTCCAAAAGCCTCATACAAAAGTGCTATTAGAACCACCCTCCATTATCTCTCTCTCTATAGCTCTCACCACTATCTTATCTTTTTTAGTTGGCTTTGCCTTTGCATATATGCAATAAAATCAACCATGTCTTTCTTTCTTTTCTCTCTCCTACCAATCTTTTTTTTGCTCGAAAGATTGTTTTATCTCCAGTCTCTCCCAGATTTATGCTACACAATCAGCCTTTTTACAGAAATCCTAAACAGTGATAGTGTTAGAAGTAGTCAGTGTTAATTTATGAAGTTTGTGAGTTTTACTCTCCTGGCTTATCTGTTAAAGCCTGCTCAGGTTTCCTTTGGAAAATGGGTGTTCATCTTTCTGGTGATTAACAACATTAACTCTCACTTCTTTTCTCTCTTTTTCTTTGGAGACGAACAATATATCAAGTTAAGAGAGCAGAGCGCACGCGGGGTAACAGAGAGGATAAAGAAAAACCGAAAGAAGAGATTGTGTTTGACGGGTTAGTGAATGTTATCCTTGAAGCAAAGCTTTACCTTCCCGATGAAAACTCTCTACCTCTTTTCTTGCACTGCCATTACTGGCAAAAAAAAAAAAAAATAAAGAAAATAAAAGTTTTTTGGAGTTTAATTTTGTAGAGAACAAAGAGAGGAAATGAATGAACGATCGTCAAATCGAGGATAGGCAAACACTCTTACTAGTGATAGATGGAGGGAAAGGTTTTGTGCGCACGAAACCACTCTCCCTCTCTCTCTCTCTCTTCTCTCTACTGTAAACTTCTCTTTACTCTACTGCTGTTTGATTGCAATCTGTCCACTCATTTTAATTTCGCACTTATTTTACCCTCTTTCTTTCCCATAGCCACGCAACACCATACTCTCCCTACAGTTTGTTTCTTATATTGTAGATTTTACAGATGTAAAATTTCTTTTTGTGTTAACATGCCTACATATAACATGGCAAAAACCCTTTTGCCTTGTGTTAAAATGGAGGCATTTTAGTTACATACAGTAGTAACGTGTGCACGGAGAAGACTCTGATTGTGAAAATGAAAATGGCCATGAGATCTCTTAGGGCGTTTGTTCAGGAATGTTAGATTACTAGAATGTTAGATTATTAGGAAGATAGATTACCTTGGAAGATTTTGAGAATCTTTAAAAAAATGTGTTTGGTTAGTTGATGGGTTATTTATATGAATAGTTTTGTTATGGGGAATAATTGGTGGGTATGTTATTTAAATTACTAAATTGTCCCTTTTTAAATATTAATATAAGATTATTTTTATTATTAATTTTTGAATAATTTCTTTTAACCCCCATATTTCAGATTTAGCTAAAACAACCCCGCTATATAAAACTTAATTTATGACGAAATCACCCCCACCTCCTGCCGCCACCGCAAACCACCACTGAAAATCTCCGAAAGCACCCGTGAGTACCTCACCGTGCGAAGAGGCTCCGATATGGCCGTTTCTGGCCATATTTGGCCGAAAACGCCAGATCTGGCCGTTAACGGCCAGTTTCCATCAATCTGGCTGGAAATGGCCAGAATAGTTCTGGCCATTTCTGCGCTAGATCTGGCCCGATATGACCGTTTTCGACCACCAATTTGGCCGAAAACGGTCATATTGAAGCTCCCGAAGTCTCCCACCGAATCTCGTTCTTTTTTGAGACTCCAGTGATTTTCTGGCGGTGGCCCATGGTGGTTGGCTCGTTGCCGGCGGTGGTGGCTGGATGGCAGTGTGTGGTCTGTAAATTATTTTAAATATAAGGGCATTATTATCTAAAATTTTATTAAACAAGGGTAAATTGAAATAGGATATTAATGTAAATTTATTTTAAAGTAGAGGTATTATGTCCAAAAATTTTATTAATAAAGGATAAAATTGTAACAAAAAATGATAACCCTGGTAATCTCAAAATACCTAAAAAATAGAAGTAATTAGATTACTTCCCATATTATCAATAATAACTACTATTACTATTTAAAAATTACCAATATCTTATATTATTTAATAATAAATATAATACTCAAGTTATAATGATGTTTATCCTGCTAATAAGCCCCACCAACGCCCCCTTATTAAATATTAGGTGATCCAGCAAAATTATTATGCACTGACAGAAATCTTTTCCTAAGACACTTGGAATTAATTTAATTCTTCCTCCTTGTCCATTCTTCCTCTCTCTCATTATTGTCTCAGTCATAGTAGCATCTAATCAGTATATTTACCAAAGTAGAAGTGGGGTTTCAGCTAAAATTAAAAGCTGGTAAAGCAAGTGGGACTCCGAATGTCTCTTCTCTTCACTCTCTCTCTCAGGTCTAATCTCTCTACTTCTACGGTTCTACCTCTATTCTGTAATGGTATAGGTCTTTGTTTTTTTATCTGTCGTAGTAAGCAGCTTGTAGCTATAACTTTCGTTTCATTCTTGAATACCGTGTGAAAACAGCTCCATTTAGCTTGAACAACTTGTCTTTCTACCTTTGTCCCTCTACTATATACCTAATTCTCTAACAACAAATATGTCATACATAGCATTCTTTCTCGCAGTCGAATTTATTCTACTCTACTCTGTATGGTCACACCTGGGGGACCCGACGTGTGATCACAGAAGCAGAAAGAGGACCATCTCTGTAATTTCTGTACAAATTGACACTTACAATACCATGGAAAGCTTCATGGGTCGAAGAATAGAACCACCGTGCCCCAGCCCCAGTTCCTTCTCACAGTATTTGAAATTTGAAGTACTACAGATTCACTGTTAACTTGTTCTGTCTTTTAAAATTTGTGTTCCGCTGTAACTCGTTCTGTCCTTTTAATTTTTGTGTCCATAACATAACCCCACGTGTTCTCTAATATATATATATAAGATAAAAATTTAACTGCACAAAAGAAGCCAGAGCATATTGTATTATTATAAACTCTGCTTTGCCAGTTCTTTGTGATTTAACTTGTGCATGGTTTTATACCCATGGCACACAGTTGCTGCAAGTTAATATACACTACACACTGACTTCCAATAAACTTCACACATTGGTGTCTGTCTATTTCTGATTTTCTCAATGTTTTATGGCGCAAATAGCAGAAATTCAGCTTGATTCGTTCTCCTGGTTCATGATTTACCTTGAAATTTATGTCTATCAGTATGTAGTGACCGGCGATCTCCACGAGTAATTGGCACACTTAATTAGGCCGTTGATTTTCAACAAGCACATCAGTAGATGCGGAAGGATTCACCGTACAAAGCAAATCAAACCTATCTACCAGAAGGAGATTTGGGATTTGACATCCTTATAAAGATAGAATCAAGACAAGAGGAAGAGTTTAATGTAGGGTTTCTTGCAAACTTCTGTCCATGTTTTGTTTTTATTTGTTTTTAAAATCTTTTGAGGAGTGATTAGAATCGGGGGGTCCAGTCAGTCAGGTTAGGTTTAGCTTTAGCTTTAGCGTTAGCGTTACGTTAGTATTAGGGTTAGGGTTTGAAAGAGAGAGAGAGAGAAGAGAAAGACGAATAAGCGTGTATGTAATGAAATGAAGTACGCGAATCCATATCCATCAAAACAGCGTAAGATAAAGTAAAAGTAAAATACAAGAAAGAAGAAAAGTAAATCGCGCAGTGGCGAGTGGAGAATGAGAAGGTGGTGGAGAGGAATGGAGAAGCCTACGCCAATTCAAGCAAATAAAAGCTTTCCTTTTTTCTGATTCCTTTACGTCATTTCCATCAACGTTGCATGATAGATCAGACATAAAGAAAGAAAGAAAGAAGAGAGGAAAAAGAACAAAACAGCTTGCAATTGCTACTGCTGCCTGCAGCAGCTGCAACATGTTCAATAAATGAAACTTTGAAATATAAAAATAAAAGAAGGGCCTCATCCATGCAATCAAATCAAGAATTATTACTCTTTTCAAAGTTTGATCAAACTACGCCCTCCCATCTTTTGTTTGTGTTATAGGGTTATTAAAAGCTAATCCACTTTTAAGAAACAGTTTAATCTGGTGAATATCACCTGTACTTGATCAAACCAAACTTTTTAGCCCCACTTCAATAATTCTATGTATCCACTTCATTTAAAATAAACATATATCTGTCAAACGTATATTTGGACAACCAACTCTTTGATTTTAAATTTATCGATGGGATAAATGATAATGATAAATAAGTGATAAAACTAACCAGATTAATTAGAGCAATTCTAAACTTACAGTTCAGTTGAGTCATACTACTCAATTATATAATCAAATAAAAAATAAATGATAAAATAGTTATTTTATATAAATTTATATATTTTTATTAATGTATGACTCAGTTATAAACAAAACATTATTGAATTTTAACATATTTGTTTGTTGATGTATTAAGTTATGATATTATTTAATATACAAATTTTTATACAACCTTTCCCTTATAAACTAATGTTTTTAATATATTAAAGCAAGGTAGATATAGATACCGATGGGTAAGGCCATTTGTAATGTCTGCTCCACCAATCGAGCAATTGTTGTCTGGCTTCTTTAGGCAGCTTCCCTTTTTTCCTCTTCTTCATGAACTCCTGTTTGAGACTACCTAAGTATCCGCTGTACCTGCGTAGAAGCTGACCTTTCAGTTCCTGGTCTTCTGCTTGGGGATCTATGAAGTGATCATTATTCACATCAAACTCTTCCTCAGATGAACCATTCCTATCAATAGCCTCAGTACGAGCTGAAGTCAGCATGAAGCAGCATAAAATTAGCTCATAATAATGATAAAATATATCAACAGATTTCTGCAACTAGGATCAGATATGCTTGTTAAGATATAATAATTTACATGATCTGGCCATAGAGATGCATCCCAAAAATCTGTTTGAATCAAACAGCTACACAAAGTAATCCATTAAATCAACAAGCCCCAAAATGGAGATAATCATTTTAGAGAATTGTGTTTCTAAATTTTCTATATTATTTGCTCCTTTGTTTCCCCTCCTTTGCTGCTCTTCAGCAGTTATTGTACTTGTACTTAGTCGATTCAGAACTAAGTGTTAATTGAAGTATTAAACATGCATGATTAACATAATATTTGTAAGGTTTTTACCTCGTACTGCTTCCAGAATTCCGCAAAACTACAAAAAAAGCATTAAAATCTAGCATAATTGACTACCGAGTATACAAAGTCATGACATACCTTTATAACGAAAAAGCATATATTAACACAAATGGTTTTCAGCAGGAGTCTGACATAAGATCATTATGAAATACTCTTTGAAATACTTAAATTGAATATCTTGTACATCTAATTTATGTTATTAGACCGATGGCACTACATCACAACCTAACCCTATACAAGGAAAGGTTTTTTGGAACTAACTGAAACGTTTAAGCACATTCTTACCAATGTTAAGTAGAAGTCATATGGTTGATTCCATAATTACAAGTGTCAACTGTGATTTAGGTATGGGTGAGGTATTGGTGAGATCTTCATACAAAATATGAGATATTGCAAAAGCTTTTACATAGTAGCAGGCTATTAAAGAATGCCCTAGACTGATGAAAAATATTAACTACACCAAGAAAAACGATTGATTAGATATATATAGTCTAAGATCAACTTGCATTAAAGGACTCCACTTAAATCCCTAAATTGGTAATAAGGCATAAGCATATTATGTCTATTAAGTCTCTTTTTGCAGCAAAAACGGACTCTTTTTAGACCCACATATCTACCCTTTTTGTCTCCAACCCCAATAAAATATAGAGAAATTATAACACCTCAATCAGGGTAGGATTGCTTTTATCTGTCATCATGTAGACCAAAATAAGCTGGACAAAGGCCTCAATATATGATTAATATAAGGTGTATCTTACTTTCTATCATTGCACTGCAGCACGGCTATATGAACGACAACCTAAGTATAAATATTTTGTATATTATTAGTTGAGATTTTGCATATCCAATTCCTTAATCCTTGTCACATGCCAAACACATAGGCTTACAAAAAGAAATTACCTGATTGAAGCTGTAAGAAATACACAGAACCATCTTGTTCATATGATAGCATGGCACTGTTTTAAAAAGAAACTACTGAATAGATATAGAGTTTTACTAAAAGACACATTTTCCAAAATTGATGATCAAGATAGATCAATTCAGTTATCGATCGTAAAATGTTCTTAGACTGTTTATTGATCTTCAGTATCTTTTCTTTCATTGAAACCTAGAATGGATTTGCTTAAAATAAACAGACTTTCTAAACATCTCATGCACTTTGCAGTAAAAGAAATTAATTAGGATAGACTCAAATGGAAGAAGAATGATACCAAAAATTGAATAAAATTGATGATTCAACCAACAAATGCAACACATAGCTGATTGTGATTTTAACAAAAATACATCCTGTTTGAATATACTTATAATAAGTTTGATCACAACATGCTACCTCACCGACTGCAACACATTGATACATAATCTGTGGATATGTAGAAAGAACAAAAGTTTTCTTTGACAACTTAACTGTTGGATCGGTTAAAAAATTTATGCAGTACTCAAGGAATCGCCTAAAGGAGGCACCAAAGTCCTGAAAATTGTAGATGAAGGATACATGTAGCAGCAACAATAGGAATTATTGTGCACTACATATTTATTAATATATAGAAAACTCCACTAGCAAAAATAAGCAAGCTTTTAACATTTTAATAAATAGCTAAAAGAATAATGTCTCACTTCAAAATCACTCCCACGTGTTCCCAATATTACGCTATTTATAACCTAAAACAATCGTTTTTAGATATGAATTAAGAAGTTATTGAGAATCATCAAAATACCATGTACTTAATAAGCCCTAACATCATGCAAGGCAAGAATAGTGGGCTTTAATACATGAGATTTAAAGTGCTGATTAACTATAATGGCATCAAAGCGAGCTATATTTTAGTATTTTTCCCGCTGTTCTTGGTTACCAACACAAAAACTCTATGAGAAGTATAAGCTTATGACTTGATTAAAGAATGATGCTCTTTCTTTCAAATCTCAAAATCTCATTCCAGTTAGTCCAATTCCTCTGGAACGATCCATGTGTCTCCACACTTGCATATAAACCTCATGCGAATATGTTTTGGTGCCCATGCTCCATAATTTGAACACTCAAGTTCAGCAATATCATGAAATAGCTCTTTAATTAGCCACCTCAAATCCTTTCATCAAGTTCTAAGCATAATCATATGTATGCCGTCCAAACTTTATTAGCGTCAAATCACATTAGACATCTTACCACTCCAAACCTTTTCATATATTTACTGGCCTTGAAAAATGTTTTTCTTCAGTGTCCCCGAATTGAGGATACACTATTTTCAAGAGAATAAAATAAATGAATATTGAAATCCATCCTCCACACCATAGTTAGCATTAAATAGCTAGGGATAGTAGTGGAAAGCAATTTTTCTTGTATCGTGAAAAGGGTACAAAATATTTGTCAATATCTAAGAATACTGAAGAAAGAAATTCACAAGAAAATAATAAGATAACCCTTGAAACACACAAACACCGAGAAGAATCAAAGCAGGAATATGTACCACTCTCCATTTTGGGTAGTGAAGTTTTAATACAATCGTCTGTATGGGTACCCTGGCATCTAAAACAGTTGCATACCAGTAAAAATACATAGCAAAAAAATTAAAACAAAGCAAAAGAAGAAGCATTCACAGCACAGGAAGAGTTAAAATGAGAGCAAAACTAGGTAACTGCACTTTAGGAACAAACACAGATGATCTTGGAGAATTAAACAGACATGCATGACTAATTATTTTTATAAGAAAAAAAAAAGGTTCAATTAATTAGCCAAACCTAAGCCTGCTGGAAGATCTAACAATGGAAGAGAGAAGAGAGAGATATTATCACCAGAATTTGAAGAAGAAGAAACAGTGAGAGCTTTGAATTGACACTCGACCCTTTGGAGGAAAAGCATGGCTTCTTTGAAGGGTTTAGAGAGTTCTTGTTCATATTTGGTCAGCATCTCGCAGTAGGCCTCCATGAACTGATCGAGGGCTGGATCTTCACCAAGAGAGTCCGTGCCAGTGGGGCCAATTGATGCCGCAGATGCGCAAGCTTCTTCTAGTCTTGCCACCACTTCAGGTGGAGCTCCCACCTGTTTGTTTTGTTCCCTTTCATCAGAAAATAATGATCTTTGCTATAAAGAAAAAGTTGAAAAAAATAAAAATAAGACTAGACTCATGTCTCCATCATAATACTCAAAAAGGTTTTGACCTCTCTTTGTCTCGGAACATAAATATTCACAAAGAAAAGTAACAACAAAACATATGACTACCGGAATGAAGACTTGCATATTTTTTGTATTAAAATTTGAAGCAAACATGAAATATCTGTCGTTTCCAGTCATTGAAGTAGTTATGATACTTGAATTAGTCCAAGATGTGAATGTGTGTGCGAGAGAGAATGTTTTGAGGTAGTGGATGTTTCAAGTTAGGTATTTTGAGTAAAAAAATGTATTCTTTAACCTTCTGACAGTTGGCATAAGCAGCCAAAAGACGGTGGTAGTGAGGATGAGCCATGATCTTAGCCTTGACTGAGGTAGAAGAAAAAGAAGAGGTGCCATCGTTAGTCTCCATGAAATAACAGCCTGTGTTTGTGTTGTTGTTATCGTCAAGAATGAGTGAAGAAGAGCCACTAATGAGATTGCGGTTTTGAGTTTGATTGTTGGTGTATGGCAAGGGAAGAAATAGGGTATTTGAGTCTGCATCAGGATGATGGTGATGGTGATGGTGGTGATGATGTTGATGAGAAGAAGTCATGAGAGGCATCATCATCATAGGACATAGTCCATTACTGTTGTCTCCAAAAGCCATCATACAAGAAGTGCTATTAGAACCACCCTCCATTATCTCTCTCTCTCTATATCTCTCACACTATCTTATCTTTTTTAGTTGGCTTTGGCTTTGCTATATAGCAATAAAATCAACCATGTCTTTCTTTCTTTTCTCTCTCCTACGCAATCTTTTTTTTTTTGCTCGAAAGATTGTTGTATCTCCAGTCTCTCCCGAGATTTATGCTACAACAATCAGCCTTTTTACAGAAATCCTAAACAGTGATAGTAGTAGAAGTAGTCAGTGTTATATTTATGAAGTTTGTGAGTTTTACTCTCCTGGCTTCTCTGTTAAAGCCTGCTCAGGTTTCCTTTGGAAAATGGGTGTTCATCTTTCTGGTGATTAACAACATTAACTCTCACTTCTTTTCTCTCTTTCTTTGGAGACGAACAATATATCAGAGTTAAAGAGAGCAGAGCGCACGCGGGGTACAGAGAGAGATAAAGAGAAAACCAGAAAGAAGAGATTGTGTTTGACGGGTGTAGTGAATGTTATCCTTGAAGGCTGAAGCAAAGCTTTACCTTCCCGATGAAAACTCTCTACCTCTTTTCTTGCACTGCCATTACTGGCAAAAAAAAAAAAAAATAAAGAAAATCAAAAGGTTTTTCGGAGTTTAATTTTGTAGAGATCAAAGAGAGAGAAATGAAATGAACGATCGATCAAATCGAGGAATAGCCAAACACTCTTACTAGTGATAGATGGATAGATAGATGGAGGGAAAGGTTTTTTGGGCACGAAACCACTCTCCCTCTCTCTCTCTCTCTCTCTCTCTCTCTCTCTCTACTGTATAAACTTCTCTTTACTCTACTGCTGTTTGATTGCAATCTGTCCACTCATTTTAATATTCGCGCTTATTTTACCCTCTTTCTCTCCCATAGGCCATAGCCACGCAACACCATACTCTCCCTACAGTTTGTTTCTTATATTGTAGATTTTACAGATGTAAAATTTCTTTTTGTGTTAACAATGCCTAACATGATAACATGGCAAAAACCCTTTTGCCTTGTGTTGAAATGGAGGCATTTTAGGTACATACAGTAGTAACGTGTGCACGGGAGAAGACTCTGATTGTGAAAATGAAAATGGCCATGAAGATCTCTTAGGGGCGTTTGTTCAGGAATGTTAGATTACTAGGAATGTTAGATTATTAGGAAGATAGATTACCTTGGAAGATTATTGAGAATCTTTAAAAAAATGTGTTTGGTTAGTTGATGGGTATGTTATATGAATATGTTTGGTTATGGGGAATAAATTGGTGGGTATGTTATTTAAATTACTAAATTGTCCCCTTTTTAAATATTAATATAAGATTATTTTTATTATTAATTTTTGAATAATTTCTTTTAACCCCCAATATTTCAGATTTAGCTAAAACACCCCGCTTATATAAAACTTTAATTTATGACGAAATCACCCCCACCTCCTGCCGCCACCGCAAACCACCACTGAAAATCTCCGAAAGCACCCGTGAGTACCTCACCGTGACGAAGAGGCTCCGATATGGCCGTTTCTGGCCATATTGATGGCCGAAAACGGCCAGATCTGGCCGTTAACGGCCAGTTCCATCAATCTGGCTGGAAATGGCCAGAATAGTTCTGGCCATTTCTGGCTAGATCTGGCCCGATATGACCGTTTTCGACCACCAATTTGGCCGAAAACGGTCATATTGAAGCCTCCCGAAGTCTCCCACCGAATCTCGTTCTTTTTTGGAGACTCCAGTGATTTTCTGGCGGTGGCCCATGGTGGTTGGCTCGTTGCCGGCGGTGGTGGCTGGATGGCAGTGGTGGTCTGTAAATTATTTTAAATATAAGGGCATTATTATCTAAAATTTTAATTAAACAAGGGTAAAATTGAAATAGGATATTAATGTAAATTTATTTTAAAGTAGAGGTATTATTGTCCAAAAATTTTATTAATAAAGGATAAAATTGTAACAAAAAATGATAACCCTGGTAATCTCAAAATACCTAAAAAAATAGAAGTAATTAGATTACTTCCCATATTATCAATAATAACTACTATTACTATTTAAAAATTACCAATATCTTATATTATTTAATAATTAAATATAATAATCAAGTAATATAAGATGATGTTATCCTGCTAATAAGCCCCAACCAAACGCCCCCTTAGTTAAATATTAGGTGATCCAGCAAAATTTATTATGGCACTGACAGAAATCTTTTCCTAAGACACTTGAATTAATTTAATTCTTCCTTCCTTGTCCATTCTTCCTCTCTCTCATTATTAGTCTCAGTCATAGTAGCATCTAATCAGTAATTATTTACCAAAGTAGAAGTGGGGTTTCAGCTAAAATTAAAAAGCTGGTAAAGCAAGTGGGACAGTCCGAATGTCTCTTCTCTTCACTCTCTCTCTCAGGTCTAATCTCTCTACTTCTACGGTTCTACCTCTATTCTGTAATGGTATAGGTCTTTTGTTTTTTTTATCTGTCGTAGTAAAGCTAGCTTGTAGCTATAACTTTCGTTTCATTCTTGAATGACCGTGTGAAAACAGCTCCATTTAGCTTGAACAACTTGTCTTTCTACCTTTGTCCCTCTACTATATATACCTAATTCTCTAACAACAAATATGTCATACATAGCATTCTTTTCGCAGTCGAATTTATTCTACTCTACCTCTGTATTGTCACACCTGGGGGACCCGACTTGTGATTCACAGAAGCAGAAAGAGGACCATCTCTGTAATTTCTGTACAAATTGACACTTACAATACCAGTGGAAAGCTTCATGGGTCGAAGAAATAGAACCACCGTGCCCCAGCCCCAGTTCCTTCTCACAGTATTTTGAAATTTGAAGTACTACAGATTCACTGTTAACTTGTTCTTGTCTTTTAAAATTTTGTGTCCGCTGTAACTCGTTCTTGTCCTTTTAATTTTTGTGTCCATAACATAACCCCACGTGTTCTCTAATATATATATATATAAGATAAAAATTTAACTGCACAAAAGAAAGCCAGAGCATATTGTATTATTATAAACTCTGCTTTGCCAGTTCTTTTGTGATTTAACTTGTGCATGGTTTTATACCCATGGCACACAGTTGCTGCAAGTTAATATACACTACACACTGACTTTCCAATAAACTTAACACAATTGTTGGTCTGTCTATTTTCTGATTTTCTCAATGTTTTATGGCGCAAATGAAGCAGAAATTCAGCTTGAGTTCGTTCTCCTGGTTCATGATTTAGCCTTGAAATTTATGTCTATCAGATAGTTAGTGACCGGCGATCTCCACGAGGGTAATTGGCACAACTTAATTAGGGCCGTTGATTTTCAACAAGCACATCAGTAGATGCGGAAGGGATTCACCGTACAAAGCAAATCAAACCTATCTACCAGAAGGAGATTTGGGATTTGACATCCATTAATAAGAATAGAATCAAGACAAGAGGAAAGAGTTTAATGTAGGGTTTCTTGCAAACTTCTGTCCATGTTTTGTTTTTATTTGTTTTTAAAATCTTTTGAGGAGTGATTAGAAATCTGGGGGGTCCAGTCAGTCAAGGTTAGGTTTAGCTTTAGCTTTAGCGTTAGCGTTAGCGTTAGTATTAGGGTTAGGGTTTGAAAGAGAGAGAGAGAGAGAGAGAAAGACGAATAAGCGTGTAATGTAATGAAAGTGAAGTACGCGAATCCATATCCATCAAAACAGCGTAAGATAAAGAATAAAAGTAAAATACAAGAAAGAAGAAAAGTAAATCGCGCAGTGGCGAGTGGAGAATGAGAAGGTGGTGGAGAGGGAATGGGAAGCCTACGCCAATTCAAGCAAATAAAAGCTTTCCTTTTTTCTGATTCACTTTACGTCATTTCCATCAACAGTTGCATGATAGATCAGACATAAAGAAAGAAAGAAAGAAGAGAGGAAAAAGAACAAAACAGCTTGCAATTGCTAGCTGCTGCCTGCAGCAGCTGCAACATGTTCAATAAATGAAACTTTGAAATATAAAAATAAAAAGAAGGGCCTCATCCTCATGCAATCAAATCAAGAATTATTACTCTTTTCAAAGTTTGATCAAACTAGCTCCCTCCCATCTTTTGTTTTGTTTATAGGGTTATTAGAAAGCTAATCCACTTTTAAGAAACAGTTTAATCTGGTGATAATCACCTGTACTTGATCAAACCCAACTTTTTAGCCCCACTTCAATTAATTTGAATAATTCTATGTATCCACTTAATTTAAAACAAACAATATATCTGTCAAACGTATATATTTGGACAACCAACTCTTTGATTTTATATTTAAACGATGGGACAAATGATATAATGATAAAATAAGTGATAAAACTAACCAGATTAATTAGAGCAATTCTAAACTTACAGTTACTGTTGAGTCGTACTACTTAATTATATAATCAAATAAAAAATAAATGATAAAATAGTTATTTTATATAAATTTTATTTTATTTTTATTTATTGTATGACTCAATTGTAAACAAAACATTATTGAATTAATTAACATATTTGTTTGTTGTTATATTAAGTTATGATACTATTTCACATACAAATTTTTTATACAATCTTTCTCCTACAAACTAATGTTTTTTAATATGATTAGATGACTTTAAATTAAAAATTAATTAAATAATTAAAATAGATTACATGACAAACATATAAGTCACATCAATTTTTAGTGAATAATTTATATAAATAATTAATAATTTGTATATATAGTATTACTCATTGAAGTTTTTATGTCAACATACTCTTTTAAAGGCATTAATTATAATTTAAAGTTTTTTTAGACATTAAAATCTTATGATAATCCATATAGTATGAATTGGTACCACATCTCCCATGGTTGTGCAACTATTCAGGTTGTGTGTCACGCTTGAAATGATTACTTCATTGATAAGACTATCATAGGTTGCTTCAACAATAAGGTTTAACGCTGAACTTTCATCAAAGTCGCATGTCATCTTATGAGAGGGTTGCTTCATGTCTCCTGGAAGGGCGATTTGTTAGGCTATGTGTCATGCGTTGAGAGGATTATTTCATGAACAAGTTTGTCTATGCAAACAATATAAATAGGGGTCTTTTACCCCAAAGAGGGGATATGAAATTTCATTTTCTCCAATAACTAAAATCAATTGCCTCGTTTGAGAGCAAATAGCCTTTGTACACACATAAAAATGCACAAGAAAAACAATAAGATAACAATAGACGTAACGTAAGATTTATACTTTGCATCCAAACCACTTTAAAAATTTCTTTTGTCTACTATTTATTTACTTATTCACATTATTATTATTTTTCACATTGGTTCAGTATCACATTCCGGTCTCCCACAAACCCTTGTCTGAGTTTCCCCAAAGGTTCTCGATACTTCTCATTGGTGCAAGAAATCGAATTTATTCTACTCTACCTCTGTATTGTCACACCTGGGGGACCCGACTTGTGATTCACAGAAGCAGAAAGAGGACCATCTCTGTAATTTCTGTACAAATTGACACTTACAATACCAGTGGAAAGCTTCATGGGTCGAAGAAATAAAATCACCGTGCCCTAGCCCCAGTTCCTTCTTACAGTATTTTGAAGTACTATAGATTCACTGTTAACTTGCTCGTCTTTTAAAATTTTGTGTCATCTGTAATTCGTTCTTGTCCTTTTAATATTTGTGTCCATAACATAACCCCACGTGTTCTCTAATATATTCATATAAGATAAGAATTTAACTGCACAAAAGAAAGCCA